CTAAACATAAACTTTAATCATATTACATTTTATGAGAATGAAAAAATTTTTTAGATATTCAAATTTTATAAATTTGAGTTTTTTTTTATTTATATTCCCTTTTTTGAACACAGTCTTTAAAAATATATATTGCTATAAATGAGGAAAATCAGTTAAAATTAGTAACCTTCAATAAATCTGTCAAAATCTGATTCCAAATATTTTTGTCACTGACGTTCCTGTTCTTTGGTCCCGATATAGAAGCTTTGACTGATGGATGTAGAATCAAATTTTCTTATCTCTTACTGTCAGTTTCAACATCTCAGCAATGAGTGTGATTGCAATTTGACTACACAGATATATTCATATGCCTAATAGTTCTACAACGCAACGTGGAGGGTTTTCTTGCCTATAAGTTATGAGTGGTATTCTTAGAAATCTAACTATTGACAATTTTTTTCCTTATAAAATATCAGCTTCTATGACATAAAATAATGCTAAAACAAAATAATGAGAGATTTGATGGAATAAATAATTTTTTCAAGAGAGAGTTTAAACTATGAAGATTTAAGATTTCTAAAAAAAAAATTACATACTCGGTTGTGGTGTTTAAAATGCAGAGTTAAGTAACATTTTCAGTTACACCATACAATATAACGATTTAGAATTTTGTAGAAAACAAATTAGTAAGTTTTACTTACTAATTTAATGCTTCATTTACAACGAAAAGATGCCTTAATCATTCATTTTTTTAATATAAATATCGTTGAATAACCAACCTCAGTTCAGCTCTGTAGGTTTATAATTTGCACTCAGTCTAAAAACCGAAGGAATTATTGAATCAAATATTTGGCAAAATATGCTTTCGTGAAGATCATTTTGATAAAACTCACCCGCATTAGTTCTACATGGAGAGGAAAACTACAAAAACCTCTCATGATTGGCCTGATGACAAGAGCCTCTATTCCATGATCCGTCCACCCCTGAGGGTATATTGCATCAGCTCTGTGGTAGGTGCGAGCCTTGCGTGCAGATCGTATCGACCAGCTGTCACTGGAGTTTGAACCAGGGACTCCTCATTGGGAGGTTAGTGCTCTATCCACTCAGCCACATCGGCTTGAAGAAACGAAAGGGATGAGATAAAAATATGACTATATGTTTACCTATCATTCGTCGATGAAGCTCTTTTTTAGATACAATTTAAAAAAATAAAATTAAATATTTTTTGTACAAAATCTTTTTATTCTTTTTTTTTACATGAGCGTTATAAACTGCAATAATTCCAAAAAAATTCAGAAAAATAGTGTAATTTGACTTCATCGCGCCAAATGGTTAACTGTATGGTTACAATATTTGCTTGGTTACAATACAGTTGAAAAATAAATTTGGGTACACTCCCGTTTTATTGGAGGAAAGTATCCGTTCTATCACTTTAATTCGTGGCGTCATGGCAAAAGGTCTATTCGCTGGCAGCTTTTTCGCGTGCGCCCATAAAATGGCTAATTGAGCAAGTCAAAGGAGATGTATACGTATGGGAGTTACTCCTTTATACGTTCTTGGGTCGTTTCGGTGATGTTGTTGTTTTTAATGGGATTTTTCTTCAAATAAGAAAAACACAAAGGAAAGGCAAAGATCACTAAACAAGGGATGTTTTGTCCTGATTTATACAGAATGGAAGCTATTCTGCAGGGACAGATAGCATTCTTTTAAAGATCCTTTCTCCTGTTCAATACTGTTTGTCGGGAAAATATTTGTTTTTAGTGAACTACTTGAAGGTATCTTAAAGTAGTCTTTCTTTCGTATGGGAAAATCATAAAATTAAGTTAATTGAATTTAAATACAGAATGGATACTATACTTAAGATGCATTAGTTTAATTTGAAATCATTTTGTAAACTCTTAAATAAATAAATTTCTATTTTATATTTTAATACCCGATTTAACTAACATAACTAATTTTTAACAGTGAGTCGATTACTATTCCATTATTTTGCTTTTAAAAAAATAAAGACAAATTTATGTTATGGATCATATCGTTCTGGATTTCTAATTTTAATTTATTAACTATTTATTTTATCTGGCTTTCTATTACTTTAATTAGTACTCTGTTTTGATTTGTTTTGAATTACATAAGCAAATTGAAAAAATTAAAGCTTTGACCAATTGAAAAAATGAGCAAATTGAAAGATATGCTTATGAAAATCAACGAAGTGATATTGAAATCATGGTTTCCTAAACATAAAGTAGCTGCTTGAGTTCTTTTATGCTGTATTACGTTTTTACTATAACTCCTACACTTTATTATTACTAAGTATATTATTAGACCAATAAACTTTTATGTAATGTATTACATATCATTATGTATCAAAAATCTCGTTTCAGCTCAAAAGTAATAAGTTTTTTCTCCTTTAACACTAACTAACAATTATTAAAAAACTATTTAAATAAAATACATAAATATAAACAATAAATGCTTTTTAACTCTGTAACTAAGAGGCTAACCTCCAGTAAAGAGTTGACTTTTTTCCTTAAATTTAGCACTAGCTGATAATTTAAATAATGTAATGAATTATTTTAAATAAAAATAAATAAATATAATCAATTAATTCAAGTGTTCCATATAGCAAAGATGGTAGAATAATATAAAATTTCATTTTACTGAAAATTTTATAATTTATTACTTATATAAATAAAAGGAATATTGAACTTAAATGTTAATTTTAATTAAATATTAATTATTTCAATAGTTTATTTTTAGTAATAGTTTATTTTTAGTAATAGTTATATATTATGGAATATGACAATATTATTAAATTACTATTCGGCTAGAGACTTCTTTACTGGGAGACATTTAAATATTTTCATGCAAATTATTATTATTGGCAAATTATTATTCTAAATAATTATTTGGATAGAAATGGAAACGACAGCTGGATTAGTCAGATTTCAAACTCTCCCATCTTTGAACTAATCACTTAATGACGGAAATAATGTCATTTCATTTATAGGTATTTCAGAGATCACTCCCCTATCACTAGTTGCAACGGAATAAATTTTACATTTAATGTAAACAATAGCGCATTAAATATGTTGCAAATTTAATGCAGTATTAAAATGCTACCCGATAATTATTTAAATATTTTCAGTATTACTGCCATCACTATTTCACACAAGCACAAACGGCGGAATTATTTATTTGTCATAGTAGTAGCTACATAAATGCGATGTTGTGTGGTATCGTATGCTTTCATCATTCTACATATATATATTATATATATATTTATATATAGGAGGTTAGT